TGGGAGACTCTATGGTTCCCCCATCTCTGAATTGGGGAGCTAAATATTTGGAAGGCCCTGGGTGGAGAATTTTCCATTTTGGGCCCTACTTTAAAATTAAAGGTCCCATGAGTTTCACCGAGCATTAATGTGTTTGCTCCCAACTCAGGGCAGGGAGTGTGTGTGTGTGTGTGTGTGTGTGTGTGCGTGTGTGTGTGTGTGTCCACCTACACACGTATGCACAGGGGCACATCTCTCTAGGGTAAATTCCATATGTCACTTCCTAATGAAAATTTCCACCATGTACCCTAGGAAGAGAATGAAAGCTTGCGGCTTTAGAGATACAGCTGGAAGAATGATATTTTTTTATGTGACTCGATTGCTTATTTTAAAAATGGAGAATTTTTTTTTTCAGTAACAGATTGAGAATTCTTGGATGATTTGAACCAAAATAGACTAACACCACTAGGCCATACTGCATATTCTAGTAAAGAGGCATTTTCAATAAGCTCACTGAGAAGCTTCTAGCACATGTCTGGCATGAAGTACTTGACAACAGTAACTCCTTGCCTACCCCTTGCCCTCTTCAGCCACTCCCGTGTGGATGGTAGTCTTCAGAGAGGCTCAGTCTAGGAAGCCAAATTCTATTGTCAGTTCGGGATAGCACATGTAGATCTAAGACCAGGAGACAAATCCAAAGGGCCAGAAGCCATCTGGACCCTGAAATAAACTGGACAATGAGAGCAAAATTAGTAGCAGAACGATCCTGGGAAGGTGGGGTGGGTTTGAGGCGCAGTCTGGTGATTCCTGCTTGAGCAGGTCTGTGGGCAACCAGCAGAGAGCAGCACACAACACTTTTCCTAGATGGAGGGAGTACTAGGCATTCACTTACTCATTATTATTCAGTGAACATTTAACATGTGCTGGGAGGTAGGGGTTCGAAATGGAAAAAGACGTGAGCACTGCACTTAACGGCACATGAGGGTTAGGACATGGAGACCAAGACACTCAATACCCGGACAAGTGCAGTCCTGCAGGATACGCTCAGCATGAGGGTAGACAATGGCTTTATAGACAATCCTGTGAACACGGCCATTGCTTTTTGATATATCATTGATAATTCTGGTGACATTAAGAACAGAATTACTTAACATTCTTTCATAATTTATCCAAAATCATCCTAAATTGTGAAGATGGCTTCCCTTTAGGACATTTCTCTGGCAAGAGCTGCCTAAATCTAGGAGGAAATTTTTCTGGTCCAATTATGTGTATTAAACTTGTTCCTGGGAACACAGTATTAAGAAAAATTTGAGGTGTGTGCAGATAGCAGGAAAGGGGCATGAATTGATCATGGGGCAGGTACAATGGTTGAAGGAGGGCTGAGTGCTGCATTTTGTGCTACAAATATATGGTCTCTGTTCTAAGTAATTTTTGGTGTATACTTTTTAAACCATGAACAATTAGTTTGTTTAACTTTGTGTTTTAATACTTTTTAAAATATATTTTTTATTGACTTCAGAGAGGGAAGGGAGAGGGAGAGAGATAGAAACATCAGTGATGAGAGAGAATCATTGATTGGCTGCCTCCTGCACACCTCCTACTGGGGATCCAGCCTGCAACCAGGGCATGTGCTCTGACTGGAATTGAACCGTGACCTCCTGGTTCATAGGGCAACTCTCAACCACTGAGCCACCACAGCCGGACTGTTTTAATATTTTTAATGTCCTTATTTATTTATTTATTTGTAAACAAGTTCACTTATCACCTGAAATGAAGAAAAAATTCCAGTAAACAAAATCATGGTCTCCCTGTAAAGACTTCCAGTCATGCTTGTCCACATACTTGTTTTCATGTAGCATTCCAGTGTCAGTTTCAGCCACTTCAGCTCAGGTAGTTGCACAGGTTGTGAGACCAGATCTCCTTTATAGGTAGTTTAAAAGATTTCTTTCATTGTCCTAAATTCATGAGAAGTGTTCTAAATTTTTTGCTTCAGCTCAGCTGGCTTTCACTCTGGGGTATTTTAGAATATGTGAGACTGCACAAGAAGCTGATTTATCTTCTCTGCTTATACCATTTCCCAATATACCACATTTGTCTTTCTAAAGGTCAGACATGATGGAAACAGGCAATGTTTCTCACGTACCTTGTTTTCTTGTTGGATTTTTATGTCTGAGTTTTTTCGAAAATGTTAATGTGGATTTCTATAAATGCAACTGTTCAATTGCACAGAGTATGACTTATAAAGAATTCTAGAACTCGAAATAACAAGTACTCATTGTGTCCAAGATATTATTCTTATTAGTAGTATTAGCTAGAAAAGTCTCTTTTTTTAATTTTAGTGACTTTTACCAGTGTCTTGGAAATTACCTTAATTCTAAGGTCAAATATGGTGGATTAAAATTTGCTGGTACCTCACTGAGCTCTTTCTTTAGAATTATATTTAAATTTGCAATTCTCTAGGGTCTTTGTATTTCTTCGCTATCAAGATTATTAAAAATCCTCACAGAATAGTAATCGCCATGAAGGAGGAGCATGAGTGACCAGCTGTGATTAGAATAGGCCAACTTCAGGGGGCGAAAAATACCACTTTCATCTAATTAAGAGAGAGAAGAGTTGTGTGTGTGTGTGTGTGTGTGTGTGTTAAGTACAACTTCTTATAATAACTGTGAAAGTGTAGTGGTTAATGGAAGTGCATAATTGTTAACAGTAATTATTTTGAAACAGTAGTTGTGGGAATGGCTGGGTGTCTGTATGAATGAGATAAACATGAAGTGGTGGAGAGTATGCTTGAATAGCATACCCACACATAAGAAGGAGTGGGGCCCAAGTACCATAGAGAAAGTTGTCTCAACTAGATTAAAGAACAGTCAGATTTTTCTCCAGGGTATCTAATAAATTCAAAGAGAAAATAGAAATGAGAAAAATAATATGAGATTTCTGACATTTCAGTGGTGGTTTATGAGGTCTACATATGCACTGGCAGGAGGCCAGGTGCCGGGACAGAGTCTAATGTATTTATCAACCTCATCGGCTCCAGGGGGATTCGGGGAATCGAAGTCTACACCAGTTCAAAAATAACAAAGCCAAGTTTCAACAGGGACAGGTAACAGAAAGGCCCTTATAAATTGTTACCCCACACACTTCCTGTAATTTCTTTATCTAAAAAGACACACACTCGGAAAATTCCTGAATAGTCATTTGGTACCAAATAGAAAGTAGAGAAGTGAGGTCACTTCTTGGTGTGCATCTTATTGCTCTGGAGTTGAGTTGAGGTGGGGCTGAACCAGAACAATGCAACCGTAGTAAGTCCCAGTTTCTCCTATTCAAAATAAATAAAACAAAAACAAAAATAAAACAATCAAGGTTCTACTTCCAGCTAGGGCAGTCTAACTTGTAACAAAATGGCCATCCTGCTGAGAATTAGAAATGTTTGATGAACATCTTTTATTTATTTATTTTTGTTAATCCTCACCCGAGGATATTTTTCCACTGATTTTTAGAGAGAGTGGTAGGGAGGGAGAGAGAGAAACATCAATGTGAGAGAGACACATCGATTGGTTGCCTTCCACACAAACCCCAACCAAAGCCAGGGGACCTGCCCTTGACCAGAATCAAACCTGGGGCCCTTCAGTCCACAGGCTAATGCTCTATCCACTGAGCCAAACTGGCTAGGGTGGTAAGCATCTTTTAAATATGTTTTAAAGGCATTGGAGAGCTGCCAAGGAAGTTAAGGCTTAAGGGCCCAAGATTCTGGAAAGAAGAACGTCCAAAGGAGTAGCTGATATTTACCATAGCTTTCAGCCATTCGTAAGTGGCAGCTTAGCAACAAGAAGCCAATCAGAAAATGACAGTGAGGCCTGTGATGCCCTGTGGAGGCTTAAGAGGTCTCATCAGGCTGGGATTCAGTCTGGGCCCCGCAGTAAAGATAGGCTGTCCTAAACTCCCACTTGAAAAGTGAGACCTTCAGGTGAATTCTCCCAAAACACAGCCTAGGGCAGATCCTGGGGAGGAGGCGACCCAGGAAGCACAGAGAAGAAATGCAGAGAAGGAGAGAGCTGAAGACAATATAATCAAGATGTGTATTCTCGATGCCACTGCTGTTTGCAGCAGGGACTAGGTCCCTCTAGGACCTCAGCATCAAGTTTTCTTTGTTTATTCTTTTTCCACCTTCTTATTGACAATCAATTTACTCTAATTTAGAAAGGAATATTTACATGCCTACGTTGGAATTGTTTTTTAAAAATATATTTTTATTTCAGAGAGGAAGGGAGAGGGAGAGAGAGATAGAAACATCAATGATAAGAGAGAATCATTGATCAGGGGCCTACTGCATGACTCCTACTGGGGAGTGAGCCCGCAACTCAGGCATGTGCCCTTGACTGGAATTGAACCTGGGAGCTTTCAGGCCGCAGGCCAACACTCTATCCACTGAGCAAAACCAGTTAGGGCAATAAAATATATTTTTAAAAAATAAAATAAGAAAATGAATAAGAAATTAGCAGTAGTAGACTTAGAATAAATGTGATTAAATTTTAAAAATATTTTTTTTAAATACATTTTACTGAGTTTTCACAGAGAGGACAGGAGAGAGATAGAGAGTTAGAAACGTCGATGAGAGAGAAACATCGACCAGCTGCCTCCTGCACACTCCCCACTGGGAATGTGCCCACAACCAAGGTACATGCCCTTGACTGGAATCGAACCTGGGACCCTTCAGTCCGCAGGCCGACGCTCTATCCACTGAGCCAAACCGGTTTCGGCTAAAAATATTTTTATTAGAGTGTATGATTGAGGAGGGGAAGAATTATATTACATGTTTGTATATTTTCCATAAGGCATAGCGTAGGACTTTGTGCATAACATAGGAAATGGTGATTCTTATAGTGGTAGTAATAATGATATAGTAGTAATATATAGCAATATAGTAATATTGTACTGTAGTTACGAATAATTTATTGATTGCAATGCTTTTTTTTCTAGATAAAGGGAATGTCCTAACAGTCACTCCATTTCTTTTACAGGTTGATATTTTTTCCATTGAGGCAGTGTCCCTTGGAAAATTGAAGAAAGTTCTGATTGGTCACGATGGCACAGGTCCCGGTAAGATTTGCTTTCTTGGTAAGCAGTTTGTTTTGAATATTTATAAAAAGTCTCATAAAAGGCAGGTGAAACAAATGATAGATATACAATTCATGTAAAATTGAGATGAGAAAATTTTCTTTTAAGAAATTAGAGTTAAATGAAGTGTTGTTAGATTATATTTATTATAGGACTTAAAAAGCTCACTGCTACTTATTATGAAGAAAATTTCCTAGGAAAATTTCCGTGTGTGTGCGTGTGTGTGTGTGTGTGTGTGTGTGTGTGCCCAGACCTACTAGGTAATCTATCATGTTTCC